CCCCGGCCGGCACCAGCCAGGAGGTAAGAGCTGGCTCAGGGGCCGGCGAGGAGGGGGTGACCGCCGGGGACCTGCTCCCCAGGGACAGGCTTTGGGGGATGGTCTGCGGGAGCGGGACCGGGTTGAGCCCCGTGGGGCTGCAGGAGGGCACTGTGCTGGGAATGGAGTGGCAGTGGTTGGGGTGCCCTGGGGGGGTGGGAGTCTGCACCCCACTTTTTGTGCCCTGGGGCAAGTCATTCCTGGGGCCTCAGTTTCTCCGTGGTGGTTACAACCCTTAATTACAGCCTTGCAGGCTGCAGAGCCTCCGGCAGTGTCGGGAGCAAGGAGCCGAGGGGTCCCCAGCCCGCTCTGCCCTCTGTGTGGGGCACACAGGGCACTGTGCCGGGCTAGCAGCCCCCCACCAGCACCAGCCACCCTGTTCGAGGAGGGGTCTGTGCCGTCCTGGGCTCAGCATGGGTCCCCCGCGGCATCTGCAAGTCCCATGGGTGATGCCCATGCCCTGGTGGGGATGGAAATGCAGGGGGACGAGCAAGGACGCGGCTGTCCCCCAAAGGTTCCCGGGGCTGCTCTCGCCCCTGGAGCCATCCCACGCCGCCGCCGCCCCGCATCTCCCCGCCATCCGCGGCGCAGCGGGGAGTCACGGCCGCGGCTCCACCGGGCACGTCGTCCTCCCGGCGGGGTGGTGCCGGGCTCGGCTGCGCATTCCCGCCGTCTCTCCCCTCCTTCCCCTCTCCCTTCCCTGTTTGCGCTGCAGGGTGGGGAAATACTTCTGCCTTTTCGTGTTTCTCGGCCCCAGGGAGGCTCGGCCCTGGCAGCTTTCCCGGTGCGGCGCTGCCCGACGCCGCTGCTACCACGTGCCCGGGTGGGAGGGCACCGGCACCAGCCACATCCCACCATGACGCACCGGGATGCCGGGATGATGGGCGGGCGACTCGGCCATCGCCCTGTCCTGCTCTGGGGTGTTTTCTTCCCAAAGATCCCAGAGGGGCTGGATCCATCCATGCTGGGGAGCTGGGGCAGGGAGAAGGGCCTGGTGGTCTGGATCCGGCCGTGGCGGGGTTGAGGCCGCATGGAGAACACACGGCAGAGCCACGCCAGGGCTGTTTCTGGCTGGGCACAGCCGCTTCCCCCAGCACTACGAGGCTCCCCAGGCTGGGGACGGTGCCTCGGTGGTTGTCACCCCAGCGCGGTGTCCCCTACACCGGTGAATAACAGGGAACGGTCCCCAGAGGTGGGGATGGGGATGGGATGGGGATCCACCGGAGCCCCCAGCCCTCCGGCAAAGCGTGGTAAGACAAAGCCGCCGGAGGGGAGCACCCGGCAGACAGGGATGGGACCCGCCGTGAGCGCAGCCGCTTTCCCCCGCAGGGCACGGGCAGCCCCGGGGCGCCGTCCCGGCACCCCCCCGCCATGGCGGGCTGGCTCCTGCCCCCCAACGCCAGCCAGGCTCTGGGCATGGAGGACATCCCCCCCTTCCACCCACCACTGTGGGTGCCCCCGCAGCACACGGTGACACGGGTGAGTGGGGCCGGGGGCTGCTGCATGCCTGGGGGGATTTGGGGAGCTGCTCCGCCTCCATCCCTTGGCCACCGCCACGTTGCCCCCGTGCCAGTCCCCTCCTTGTGCCGCAGGTGCCCGTCATCCGCCACCGCGGCTCCAACACGCTGAATTTCGACTTCCACAACCCGGCAACCCACAACGTGGCCGAGCGCAGCTGGGCAGCCCCCAGGAGCTCAGGTACCTGCTCCGAGCATCCCCGGGGACATCCCCACGGGCTCCCCCAAGTGATGCTCGGCAGAGGGCGAGGGCTCACCCTCACCCACCTTGTCCCCAGCGAGCGAGTGGTACCAGACCTGGCCAGCCAAGGAGGCGAAGGCACCCAGCACCCCGGCGCCCGCCGGCCCCATGCCCAGCCCCGGGGCCACCCCTGCCTGCCCCCAGCCGCCGGGCTGGTCGGCCACCTGGACCAAGGACAGCAAACGTCGGGAGAGGCGCTGGGTGAAGTACGACGGCATCGGGCCGGTGGATGAGACGGGGATGCCCATCGCCTCGCGCTCGGTGAGTCAGGGGCACGGGGCTGGGGTTCTCCCCCCCCGTCACCCCCTCACCACCCTTCTGCGTCCCCGCAGAGCGTCGACCGGCCCCGTGACTGGTACCGCAGCATGTTCCGGCAGATCCACCGCAAGCTGCCAGGTGAGTCTCTGGTGCCGTGGCACAGCACGGCATTGGCACGGCACCTGCTCACCTCCTCCTCCATCCCCACAGAGCCGGACTGGGATGCCCATCGCTGCCCCACGGATAGGCTCAGCCCCTCACCCACCACAGTGCCTCCGTGTCCCCCCGAGCCGCGGAGGAAAGGGCCATCACTGGCCGAGCCCCCCGGCATGCCCAACGGGCTGGACTGGTAAGTGTGGCACAGGACGGCATTTAAATGGCGCCCAGGGACCCGTCCCCACCTGGGGTGCCCACAGAATGGGGGGCTGCTGGGGCTGAGCTCCTCCTGGCTCACCACAGGCCCAGCTGGGGTGACACCGGTGCCACCGCGGAGCCTGGCAGCATTTTTGACTACGAACCAGGGAAATCCTTGGTGCTGGAGCAGCCACAGCAGGTAGGCAGCCCTGGCACCCCCAGCACCCACTCAGCCCCGGCACGGAGGGATGCTGCTGGTGGATGCACACCTAACCGGTCCCTTGCCCATTCCAGCCCCCGGCAGCGGTGCCGCTGGCGCGGGCTCAGCCCATCGAGGTAAGCTGCCGATGGCAGGCGGGGGGGCTGGGGTGGCAGCGGGGGTCCCAGTGCCCGTGCTGCTGGGACGCAGGGTGCGGGCAGCACCAGCCTTGCCCACCGCAGCCCCGTCCTGGCTGCATAGGTGCTGCTGGAGCAGGAGCTGGAGCAGCTCAGCGAGGAGCTGGACAAGGACATGAGGGCCATGGAGAGTCACCGGCACCCCTGCCAGGTACCCCGGCCCCCGCCCGCACTAGCCTGGGGCTCCCCTGCTGCCTCTCGGCCCTCCCCGGGGCTGGGTGGCACTGAAGGGATGCACAGGCCTGACGGTGCCCCCCACCCCCTCGGC